TAAACCAAGTACATGGATAGCTGTCTCATTGTTAGTGACTCAAAATGATGCTTTTGAACAAGAAGATGCTCTTCTCTCCCCTCCTCTCTTCTCTCCTCTCCTCTCTTCTCCCCTCCTCTCCCTTCCTCTCCACTCCTCTCCCCTCCCCTCCTCTCCTCTCCCCTCTTGTTCCCTCCTCTCCTCTCCCCTCCTCTCCCCTCCTCTCTTCTCTTCCCTTCTGTCCCCTCCTCTTCTCTCCTCTCCTCTCTTCTCTTCTCCTCTCCTCTTCCCTCCTGTCCTCTCTCTCCCCCTTTTCCTGACTATAGAGTGGGGACCTCAAAAGCAGCTGTGACTAAGGGTTAATGCCTCTGAAATAATAATACATTGTTTTCTAGGCTTTGCCAAGCCAATTCACCCAGGTTGTCTCACGTAATACCCACCAAGTCCTCAACAGGTAGGGAGGAGAGGGATGCTGTTAACCTCACCTAACTGATGAATTGGTTGACTGAGATTGAGATAAATTAGATCAGTGGCCCCAGATGTTTTAGACAGGATTTGAGCCTCCAGTTCTGTCTCTGAGCCCAGTGGCTTTCAATGAAATACACACCCTTCTGTGCCAGGAGGATGCAGCCTGGGGACAGTGTGTATGAAAGGAAAGGTGAAGGAGTACAAGGGAGCCATTTTTATAGAGGAGGGAAGAAATGTTCTGGGCCATTAGCTACTCCTCTGCTCCTGGAGGTAGAGGATTTGAGGCTCACCACGAGGCTGGGCAAGTCAATGACCCTAAGGCTCCCCAGAGAAAAGAAAAGCCAAGGACCTGGTTGTCTTCTTTCTCTCTTCCTTCTCCTCTTGGCAGGAGAAGATCTGACTAGGGAGGGTAGGGTGTAGAACCACCCTGGTTTTCCCAAGACCTGGCATGTGGGAACCGTATGTGGGGTGCCATCCCCCTTGACTGAACCTAATGCCTTTCTCAGGCTGGAGCTGCCGGTCACTTTTAGGTGCTGGACTGCCCTGAGGCCTGGGCCCTGTCTGGGTGTGAGGAAAGCTCTGGAAGCTCCTCTGGAGGAAGAAGCATGCAAGGCACCCCCAGACAAGGCCAGGGCCCCAGACCGCCCCCTGTGAACAAGTGGACACTCCTGCTCAGCAGCTTTATCTTGACAGCTGCTTGGGGCCAAATGAATTTTACAGGGTAAGTAGCTGCTGCTCAGGGAGAGGGAGGACTGGCTCCTGGAGCCAGGAGATATGGGTGTCCCAGTGCTATGTGTATGTGGCTGCCTGGGTGGGACTGGATGAAAGCAGAGGAGTTAGGACTTCTGTCTCCATCCAGAGCCCCCTTCTGGCTTCTTAGTGTCTCCTCTTTTGCTCCGTGCCACTTGGTGGTATTACTGCCTCTTCTAAAATCTGGGGTTCAGAGGTACGTTTTTGAGGGTTCCAAGAATTCCCTGAAATCATATGTAATAGTATATATTTCTTTCTTTCTTTCTTTTTTTTGCAGAATCGGGGATTGAACTCAGGGAAGCGCTTATTCTACCGAGCCATCTCCCCGGCCCAGTATATATTTCTTTGACAAATGAAAGTTCATATTTTTCCTCGGGTTCTTTTTCTTTTCTTTTTTGTGGAACCAGGAATTGAACTCTGACCTTTATGCTGGCAAGGGAAGCGCTTATTCTACTGAGCCACCTCCCGGGCCCCCCTCAGATTCTTAAAGAAGCTAGTAAACTTCCTTGAGGCTATGTGTTCTGACCAAAAGTGGTGTGATATTGTCCGTTTTTTTTTAATTTTTTATTTTTTGGCCTGTATAGCCTTCCCTGAGAGCGAGGCTGGTGCAGCATATGGATATGCCGGGGACTGAACCTCGATCGCCTGCGCCTGCCTAAGCTTGCCTAAGCAGGCACTTTAGATCGCTGTGCTATCTCACCATCCCTGTCCTTCTTTGAGTAACAGAAAGTTCTAGTATGTACATATCTTAGGCTCTCTGTGGACATGATTTGTGAGCCTCCCAAAGATCCCAGAAAGCAGGTAGTCCACAGATTCTCCTTAGCAGAGGAGACATAGCTCAGAGAATAGATTCAGCACCCATGATTTCCATCAAGGAGGAGCTACACCCCAGGTATCAGATGCTGGTGGGCACACTGCAGGCAGCTGGCTTTTGGCCTCCTGTCCATCCAGCTGGAAGGCAAGGAGCTCAGTTCCCCCTACTGAGGTGGGGTGGAGTTGTGTGATCTCCTCTTCCAGGGCCTAGGCATTCCAGTATGAAGGGCACTTAGGGCTGCCGTTGGTCCCTGCAGCCCCTGTATTATCTATTCTCTCTCTCTCTCTCTCTCTCTCTCTCTCTCTCTCTCTCTCTCTCTCTCTCTTAGTAGCAGTGACAGGCTTTACTTAGTCCCCTGGGGGCTGGAGAGACCCCTGGCTTGTGCTGAAGAGCCACGACTCCCAGAGCTCCGGTCCTTCCTTCTGGGCCCCTCGGTCAGCCTCTCATCCCCTCTGGCTCTTCTGAGTGACTCAGTCCACAGGAGGCTATCTCCGCAACTTTATCTGCCTTTGCTGTATTCTTTCAGAGACCAGGTTCTTCGTATCCTGGCCAAAGATGAGAAGCAGCTGTCACTTCTCAGGGATCTGGAGTCCCTGAAACCCCAGAAGGTGAGGCTTGAAGAGCAGGATCTAGGAACCCCCCCACCAAGGCTCCTGCACTTCAGTTCCCTGTCCTGCTCCCCTAACTGCAAACTTGCCCTCCTCAGGTGTCTGACAACAGTCACAAGACTGTAGAAAAGTCAAATGTGGCTCTCCTTTAGGAAAGCTGAGGCCCACTTGCCCACAAATTTGGAGGGCAAAGCATTTGTTTGTGAGAACAGTTGTCCTGCTGGGAGCAACGATGCCTCCTTCTTCTGACCTGGGCTGTTGTCCCAGATGATGAATGGTCTCACCTTAGGAATTCTGTAGGGGGTCTGTAGATTCAGGCCAAGTAGCAAAGAGTAAATGAAGGAGGGAGACAAAGAGGGAAAGGAAACTTGGTGACTAGGGGATTATATTTGTTTATTTACCCTTATCTTTCTGTTCACTTTAGTGTTTTCATTATGGAACTAGAGCCCTTTTAAGTGTAACAGGGAACCATTTATCTCTCCAAGGTGCCTGAAAGAGTGTCAAAGGTCAGGCAATAAATGTATCTAAATTTTTCTTCCTTTTTTGAACAAGGTGGACTTCTGGCGTGGCCCCGCCAGACCCAGCCTTCCTGTGGACATGAGAGTTCCTTTTTCTGAACTGGATGACATCAAAGCTTACCTGGAATCTCATGGACTTGCTTACCGCATTATGATTAAGAACGTCCAGGTAAGACGTCACCCAGGTCCACATGCAGGGCTGTCGCCTTCCACATCCTTTCCTACTGGGACACACCAGGCAGGAAAAATACTCAGGCTGAAAGCACGCACTTCACTTCTGGATCTCCATCTGTGTGTTTATGATCCTGCCATGGAAGGAATCAGGCTGCCCATTTCCCAGAGAACACTTAAGCCTCAGGGCAGAGTTCATGGAGGTGCGAAGTGATCCGCGCGGGAAGCTGTCTGTGCATCCTCTCGGGCAGAGGAGTTTGCAGCTAGCAAAGAAGCAGGAGGCAGGAAGAATGCGGAGAGGGGAAATCACTCAGGCCTTTCCCAGGCACCTCTGATAGACTTGGCTTTTCTGACTGCTCCCACTTGTCCCCCTTCAGTCTCAGCAAGGTGGGGGTGGGGGGAGTGCTCATTTGCTGTAGAGAAGCTAGAGGTAGTAAAAGAAGCCTAGCATGACCCTTGCCACCCTTTCCTGCTCCAGGGCTGTCTGTGCTGGGGCTTCTCTCCCAGCCAGGACTGTCCCAGGGGAGCAGCCCTGGATGCAAGACTTGCCCTCACCCCATCTGCTGCTGCAGTCCAGCATCTTTTCTGAACATCGTAAAATTCTGTTTCTATTCTGTCTTTAGCGACATCCCAAAGATCCTTGGAAAGGTGCTGGTAGCACAGCTTTCTTTGGGAATGATTCTTTAGGTACCACTCAGGCGTTAAGTCTTCTCCTCCATCCTCTCCCCCATGCGGTTGCTGGCTATGTACCTGCGCAACTGTATCCACAGTGGTCCACTCCTGACCAGGATGCTCAGCACTAATCTCTTCTAAGGGCTCCGAGTGTGGGAACACAGAGCCTCCCAGAGCACACACACTTGACATCACATGCCAAGGGATAAACGCATTAGACAGCATTCCTTTCCCATGGAGCACAGGGCTGGGGCTCTTGGTCCGTTCAAAGTCCTTTATCCCTCATCAGGCACATCTGTTTCCTCGCTCAACATGTGAGGATGGGATGTTTCTCTAATTAAATCCCCCACAAACAAAAATGGAGAAACTCCCACAGACAAAAGAGGCTACCACATCAAAAGAAATAGAATTTAATTCTCATTTTTAGCTCACGCCTCTATTTTGAAGTTTGCATTTCTTTGCTTCTGCTGTACTCTGGGAAGCCCGCAGCATTTGGCAGACAGATATGCAGAGGTCTGGAAAAACTTTCTGTTGAATTCTGCACATCAGGGGCAGCCCTAGAGTCACTTTTGAGCCTCCCCCACCTGCTCCTCTGGAGTTGTCCTCTGATTCTGCTCTGCCAGGCCTCGACCGTACCATACCCAACCCCCTCTGGGGTTTGCAGTCTCCCAGGAAAATGCCCTAACCCAGCCAGGCAGGAATTTCCCAAACAGGCTGCCATCTGCAGAGCATCAAGCACTGACTGCCTCCTGGAGATCCAGCTCTGTGGGTTCTAGGGTGCTGGAGGTGGGGGGCGGCCACTGTTCCTGTGGATTTGTGGTGATGAAGGGACCCTAGGAGAGGAATTCACTAAGCACCAGCTGAGCAATAGGAAGGGCTTCCCATGACCCAGGCTGTCAGTGACCAGGCTTACTGCAGATGTTGATGCACAGGCTTGATTCTTTCTTCTGCCCTGTACATAGCTTCCCCTCCACAGCGAGCCCTTAATGGTTATCTCCAGAATGAATTACTCTATTGTTTTGGGCCAGGCCTGTGTTTATTGACCTGTTGGTCTTTTCCCCCTGGCCCCCTCCCCTCAACCCCTCAAGGTCCAGTCCCATTGGCCTCATCCAGTCTTGACACCTCTGAAGCTCATGCTTAATAAACGTTAGTTGAATTAATGGATATGAAGAAGAAAGGGAAGAAGAAAGGGTATGTGTGGCACAGGATCCAGGTTGAGAGAAAGGGTAAAAACCTTTGCTTTCAGCTTTCATTTTGGCCAGAGGCCTGGAAGATTTTTAAGGAAAGAAAGCGTTCATTCCCCTGGCTCTGTGACCAGCAGGTGCTTGAGAAAGATGAGGCAGCTCTGTAACTCACTCACAGTAGGAGATGCCTACTGTGTGCAGAGATGGGGCAAGGGCTGGAAACACAAAGATAAAACGATCTGGTCCTGGGCTGTATCCAGGGAGTAGGAGAGTGTGGGGCTTGGGGGAGGGGAGTCAGCCAGTGATTACAATGGAGTGGATGAGTGCACTGATGGAGAGGGAGCAGGTTGCTATGGGAGCAGAATACAAGAGGCACCGCATGTCTCTCTTGTGCTGAAAAGGTGGTAATTACGGTGTGTGGCTGCAGGCTGGAAGGGGGTGGGGAAAGGAAGACAGCCCCCTCCTCCAGAGGCGACCAGGCCCGCCTGCACCGCAGAGGGCACTTTCTTCGCACGAAGAGGTCAGGATTATACCCCCACCCCTCAACCGTGGGGAAGACTTTAAGGGGCTTTGGTCAGATTTGCATTTCAGAAAAACCACTGTGCCCTGGCAACAGTGTTGAGTTGGGGACAAGCCCAGTAGAGACAGGCAGGAGAATGGTGAGGAAATTGCAGTGGGCCAGGCAAGAAATTATCTGATTCTGAGGGAGCTCGATTTGCATTTAATTTTTCCTCACCTCCTTGTTCTCTTCAGCCCTGTGCTGCCTTTTTCCCCCTAGGATGAGTCACCATGGAAAAGCTTCACTTGAGCAATCAGCACCGTGGATTTTAATGGCTTTTTTTCTGATTACAAAATTAATAAATATTCATGTTAGATAATTTGGGAAATTGGGGAAAAGCACAAGAAGAAAACAAAAATCACCCATGCTCCAACCATCTAGAGCGGAATACAATTTAGTATAAATGTTGCTTCACCAATTGGATTAGTCTTGCCTGCATACAAATAGTTATTTGTCCCATCTTTAAAAATCCTGTCTTGATCCCCATCATTTGATCCCTCCAGCCCTTTTCTCTACTTCCTGTAAAGCAAAACTCCTGGAAATACTTTTTCCTCTGGTGGGGCTCACTTGGGGGCAGCCTGCCCTTCACTTCCGCAAAGCTACCCTTGACTGACAATGACAACAAAACACTGGGTCCAGCTCGACGGCCAACTCCGCGTGTTTACCTCTTATAATCACGTGTCCTACTCCTCCCCAAATCACGTCTCTGCGCTCCCAGGACCCTGCACTGTCCTGGCTTGTCCTGGCTTCGCGGCTTGCTCTTTGCCCGCAAGTCTCCCACTTCCTCATCTGGAGTGCCTACCTCTTCCCACCTCCGTAGGACTGCCTCACCCTAGTTCCAGCCTACGTCTCCCTCTGAACTCTAGATTCCTGTATCTTGACCCCGCCTCACCATTTCCTGGGGGTCTGGTGGGCCTCTCAAATCCACAGGTCACTATCTCTCCTCCTCTCTCTGTCCACAAGTCTTCCCCAACTCGTCACCCAGTCACAGAACCTGGAGTCATTCTGGACTCCTCTCTTTTGCAAGCAGTCCACCAGCAAATCCCTTGGGCTCTCCCCTCAAAATATATCTCAGCACACCAAGGTTGACTCTTCAAGCCATCCTCCCTCAGTCAGATTAGCCACAGGGGTCTTTGAAAATCTGTAAATCCAATCCTGTCATTCCTCTGCCTCAAACCCACCAGTGCTCTTGTGCCATCTGCCTCTCTCCTCATTCTTTGAGTGTTGTTTTAACTTTGCCCCTTGGCAGCCAGGGATTTCAGCTTTGAGCTCTGAGGGTCTCTGTTCCAGTAACTAAAGATCTGCAGCCCTGTTCCTGAGGGCACACAGTCATTGCCTCTGCCCATGCAAACATGAGATGAGGAAGAGGAAACGGGACCTGGGCCAAGAGAGATGTCACCACAGAGCTCCGGCTGTGTTCCAGGAGGGTCAGTGCGGAGATGTCCAGCTTGCTGCAGGCTTCAGCTCCACTTTTAGGCCCTTGGCTTTCTCTCTCTTATACTGGGGTACTGTTCTCCCCACACCTCCCTTATCCTTGTCATAAATTAATTGGCACAAAAGCATTACTATTTCTCTTAGGTTATGGCTTCCAGGGAGGCCAACTGTTGACCTCTGAGTTTCTTGGTCTTTCTTGCTTTTTTCTGAGGAGCCTGGTTGGGTTGGATTGGTCATCCTGAGCCTGTAGTGAGGCCACATTCTTAGCTCCTCCATCTTTTTACCTCAACTCTGGGCAAGGAATAAACATCTGTGGAGTGTTCTGTCCAGGGTGCATTAGTGTTCCTGGGACTGGGCCAACCTGTGAGGGCCAAACATTCCTAACTCCTACGAGGGTGTCATATCCATTCACAAGTTTGGGAGAGTGTCTGGTGTTATTTGCAGTGTGGTGCCGACTTCCCATTTGCCTCCAAGCTGTTGTGCAACAAAAGGTGCCCTCATGGGAACTCTTCCTGTGGGTGTTTCTGGCTGTGTGGGACGAGCTGTGTCTGCCTGGTCCTGTCTTCCCAGTTTCTTCTTTCTGCCTTTTACTCTGCTTCAGACCCCTGCCAGAACCTAATAGGTTAGACCCCTGGCCCCTCTAACTTTATTCTGATGAGCACAAGCAGGGACCAGGCCTGCTCTGACCTGGTGGCTATCCATCCCTGCAGCTGTTCACCACAGCTGGTTATCAGCCCATAGTGGCAGGCACACATCAGTTATGGTGGGCTGCTGAGATCTGAGTGGATTTCCTGGGAAGAAGGTACATTCCTTCCGGTAGAGCTTCCCAGGGTGGTGCTTGTCAGGGGTGGCCAGCAAGGGTCCCAGCTTTGCCCAGTGGGAATGCTTCAGCCTTCATCTGGCTGGCAAATACTGCGATTATAATTGCCCGGCATGTATTTGGTGCTCAAATATAAAATCAAATGAGCCCCAGACATTGATTTCCACTCCCGTTTTTGAAATCTATGAACTTGAGAGTCATGAGGAAGTGGGCCGTGCATTCGTCATGAACCCTCACTGTAGCAAGAGATGGGGGGACCTTCTCTCCCAGCCCCAGGGTTGAAGCCCCCTGCTGCTGCTTCCCATCAGCCAGAGCTTCTGAGTTTGACATTGTTTATTCACTTAAGAGTCCTAACTTAGGGGCATGGCCCTAGCTCAGGCCTTTAAGTGGCTGCTTCCACAAAGCTGTCAGTCTCAGGTTGCTGGAGTTCGAAACTCACACCTCTCCAGCTGGCCAAAAGTGCCCTGAAGGCATTCGAGGAACAAAAAAAAAAAAAGAGTCCTAACTTATTGAAGTAATAAAAACACATTGTCAGGGGCTGGGGAGATGGCTCAGTAGGATAAGCACTTGACTGGCAAACACAAGGATCTGAGTTCAATCCCTGGTTCCGCCAAAAAAAACCCAACAAACAAAACACATTGTCAAACTGAAAAAGAAATAAAGAAAAAAGTTCTCAGAGTCTAATCTTCTATATTAATAGGCATCATTAACATTTTGGTGTATATATCTTTGGTATTTTAGTGTCTTATTTTCTTATGCTCAGGGGTATTTGTTTTCATTTTAATTATGAGAATACTATAATGGAGTTTTCAGCTGTTCTTAACATTTTGTAGATTTGTGTGCTATGTTTCATATAGAAGATTAGATAGATAGATAGATAGATAGATGTTATTATTATTGGCCTTTAGTTTTTTTTTTTGTTGTTGTTCCTTAAATGCCTTCAGGGCATTTTTGGTCAGCTGGAGAGGTGTGAGGTTCAAACTCCAGCAACCTGAGGCTGACAGCTTTGTGGAAGCAGCCACTTAAAGGCCTGAGCTAGGGCCAGGCCCCTGGCCTTTAGTTTTGATAGCCTCAAGGAATCCAAGGCCTGGAACTGGAATATCTAGTTATCTTACTTCTGTTGCTTGTGTTTTTGCCATGTCATCTCTCCAGTCTCCTCCTTGTCTCTAAAACAGGAAGAATTAATCTTTGTCCTGGGATCTGGTCATCTGACCAGATCAAGTGAGATCATGAGCTTAAAGATGCTTCATAAACCAAAAGGCTCTGGCCTGTGATAAAACATCCTCCAGACTCTGTTGTGACTCAGAGCTGTAAACAAGAGATACTTTGGAGTTGATGAGGGTGCTGATCAGCATCCTGGGTGGCATTTCCTGTATTGGATAGTCAGTGCAGAATCCTGGCATGCCGTAGCTTCTGGGAGCCAAGATAAGAGTACAGCGAGTTGATAACATCCCCTAGTTATTGCAGACTGATCAGGCCCACAATCTCCCAAAGGATTGGATGGCAAGACTTAAATAAATGAGACAAATAAAATGATTTCAGGGCTTCAGGAAGATGAGAAACCCTTTCGCAGAATTTGAGATTTGAGGGTTTAAGACAAATAACTTCTCTAGGTGGTCCACATTTCTTAGCTTTCAAAACAAAAGAGGGGGGGAAAAAAAGAGGGGGATACTAAAGAAGATGCAGGAATCTGGGCAGGGCTTGGGAGTCCTTGCAAGGTTTCTCCAAGTAAACATTATGTTAATTTAGGAGAACTATGTTATCTCTGGGAAGGCCTTTACTGGTGAGGTGCCTGCAGCAACGACTCTTTATCTGGCTAATTGCGGTTGGAGCCAGGTGTCCTTAGCTGTGGCCATCCTTCCCAAAATGTCATCACATCCAATATTACACCCTGTCCTTTCAGGTAACAAGGCAGACATTGCTGTCTCCAAATTTCAAGATGGGGAAACTAATCCCACAGCTAGTTCTACAGTGAGACAAGACAGGCTTCACCTCATGGCTTCACCCACCATTACAGGCTTCAGTAGGACCAGTGACTTACACAAGTTCACTTGCTGTGAGTCTGTTGCTCTGAGCCTTAGACAAACTCACAAGTAAACATGAAAAGCCAACTGGGTAATGTTAAATCCTGCTCAGAGCTGTTTGTTTCTTTTTTAAAAATTTCTATTATTTTTCATATTTTTGCCTTTATACAAGTTAATCTTTGCTAAATACAAAACCACAAAGATCTTCTCCCACTTTTTCTTCCAGAAATTTTATAGTTTAGGGCCAGTCAAATAGCTTAGCTGATTAAAGCATCTACAAGCAGGCACAGGGGCTGGGGGTCCAATCCCCAGGCCCGTGCTGGCCCCAACCCCAGGGCACTCTGAGGTGGTGATTGTGACTGGATGCGGTGATGAGCACTTGTAATCCCAGCTCTTGGGATGCTGTAAACAGATGGATCACTATGAGCCCAATCTAGTAGTGAGACCCCGAACACCTTGTAGACCCTTCCCTAAAAATACAAAAGCAAAAAAAAAATCGAAATATTATAGTTTAAATTTTACATTTAGGTCTATGATGCATTGCCAGGTAATTATTTTATTTTATTTTTTCAGAGCTGTTTCTTAGTGAGCTCCATCAAGAGTATAACCTTGAGTGGAGGGCACCTGCCCAACTCAACATGACCCAAACTGGGAAAGTATCCAGGATGACATGAGCAGTTTCTTTTTCTTTTTTTTTTTTTTTTTTTTTGGTAGAACCGGGGATTGAACCCAGGCCCTTGCGCTTGCCAGGGAAGCGTGTATTTTACTGAGCCATCTCCCTGGCCCCTGACATGAGCAGTTTCTATGGTCAGCAGGCAGTATATATGAGGCTGTGTGCCAACACCAAACTTACACATAGGACACTGCATTTGGCTCTCTCACATTTGTGTTTAGGAGGCAGCTGACACGGTACATGAAAGACCACTGGTACATTAATCATGAGACTTGGGGCAGGGAGATAGCTCAGTAGAATGAGCACTTGCCTGGCAAGTGCAAGGGCCTGAGTTCAATCCCTGTTTCCGCCTAAAAGAAAAAGAAAAGAAAAACATGAGACTGGATTTGTCCATACCTGTCTTTCCAAATGGCTTTGACACCAGTTATCTAGGCTACTTTCTAAGGGGGTAGGTAGAGTTGATGTTGAGAGTCAGAGAAACCTTCTGCTCTCCCCAAAGGGTCAGTGCCTATGGTTCAGCCTGGGTTCAGATTCAACAGAATGGCAATGAATGTTGGCAGCAGGCCAGGAACATCCTTCCCAAAATGTCATCACATCCAGTATTATACCCTGTCCTTTCAGGTAACAAGACAGATATTGCTTCCCCCAAATTTCAAGCTGGGGAAGCTAATCCCACAGCCAGTTCTACAGTAAATTGGTGGCAGAGCTCTCCAGACTCCCTACTTGAAAAATGGCAGCATGGATGCCAGTTAGCTGGCAGAGTCATCCCCGCAGTAGTCTTCCCCTATATGGCACATTCTCACAGTGGCTTGGTTTCCTGTGTCAATGCCATCTTAGTGGACAGCCAACTAAGGAGGGGTCCAAAGAGGCGCAGCCAGCGCAGGACTTGCTTGCCCTTCTGCTGCATGTTTCCACCTGCTAGGTGCTGCTGGATGAGGAGAGAGAAGCCATGGCGAAGGCTCGCAGGCTGGAGCGCAGCACCAGTAGCTTCAGCTATTCCTCTTACCACACCCTGGAGGAGGTAGGCCTATCTGGGTCAAGCTCCATGCTTTCTCATGCCACTGGGCCGCTTAGTCCCCAAACTCTGGCAGAGACCAGTGGAGGTCTGTGGGAGGCTATGAATTTGGGGAGACCTTAAATAGTCTGCTAGACACTCAGTTCAAAGTGGCCCAGAATCCAGCACACAGATAGTGGGGACTTTTGTTCAATAGTACAGCCCTCGGTGGTATGGAGTGGAGTAAAGAGTCTGCTGGGCAAGACTTTAAGTACTGGGCAGGGGGGGCCAGGAGATGACTCAGTGGAATAAGAGCTTTGCTGGCAAGCGAGAAGGCCTGAGTTCAGTCCCTGGTTTGGGGGGAAAAAATCTGCTAAGTACTGGGCAGGAATCTTTGACAGGCCAGAACAAGGCTGGCCAAGGCTGCCTGATCTCCCACCCTCTGGGAGGAACCCACTAACTTCTCCATGACCACTTGTGATGTTTGGTGGCCTCAGCTACTGGTGGTTAATGATCTAATGGGCAGGAAGAGGAGGGTGCAGAGATGACCACTCCTGAAGGAAACTCAAGGCACAGGTCTCATTTTATGTTAAGGATGTAACGTGGTCGATATTGTCCACTCTGTTACTATCAGCACTTTTTCATTTTGCAAGACCTGTACTGAACGATCCATTTTCTTACTTATGTTTGTTAATTATGTGTATTGAAAGGATGAGAAAATGAATTAAAATAGCTGCCTAATTACCGATGCCAGAGGTCAATAAAACACAAGCTCTACCTTCAAGCGGCTTAGAGTCTACAAAGGATTAAAAACAATTTTTTTTTTTTTTTTTTTTTTTTTGCGGAACCAGGGATTGAACTCAGGCCCTTGCGCTTGCCAGG